GCAGTTAGTTTCAACCATACTGTTGAGATTACGAAGTTGTTTTTCACATCAGTTTTTGTTTACTTGATGACATTGAAGAGAGAAGCTCGACTTACACATATTACCCATTCCCGCTGTTACTAGGGTTATCATTTCCAAGCCAGGCTGAACTGAATTTTTATTTATTTTGGGGTTTTATCATGTGTGTTTCATCACCAGCAGCAAGAATTCTACATATATAGTTCTGTACATGGATCCTATAGCTGAAGTGTTTCTACTTTCTATAACACTCAGTTATAGAAGAAAACATAATCAGTATTACATTTGCCTTTGCCAGAGATGATATCAAGATCAGTTGGTATTTCCTATTCAATTCAACACCAGCACATTTTGTGAATTTGACCAACTTTTTGGTCATACCAACATATCACTTGTATCCCCATTGAGTTTTGTTCTCAAATGGTCTTGTGACATCATACAAAAGCTTTGAACAATAGGCAAAGAGCTTCAATGATTGAGAAATATAGGCAGAAGCCACAGAAAAGGATGAATGTGTTGTCAAATGCTTCCTTGACCAATAATCCGAGCAGAAACCACAGGAAAAGATGAATGTATTGTCAAATGTTTTACGAACCAGTGATTATGGTGCTGAACCAATGTTGCAATCATACGGTTTCCATTTATTGATCCAAGATGAAGTTTTTCTTCTTCAACCCCAAGATTAGAACTGAGATATAATGAAGATTTCTTTCCAAGGAGAGCTGAAATTTTAAACAAGAAACTAATGGGGTCAACTAAGGTTGAAATACAGGTTGTTGTTAAGCATCTCGACATGATATTGGTCCAAGTTGCCTTATTCGAGATCTGATTATATGTGGAGACATGAAAGGAATTGGAATAAATCTTCCCTGTGATGTTTCAAGAGTTAAATTAGAACAGACTCTACTCTCCTAATTAATCCCTGCTGAGTCAGGCATATCTACATCTACACTCTTCAAAGATGATAGATTCTTTTTTTAAAGATGATAGATTCTCTTTTCAAAGATGAAAGCTTTATTGGATTTTTACACAAGTCCAAGCAAAGAAAATTGGTTTTATCCAAGACAAAATGGGACATCAAGGTCATAGTTCTGACTACGGCAAGAGTTCCACAAATGAAACATTTCTTCTGAGACCTTCATGAAGCAAAGAAGACAGCAAAGATACAAGTTGATCAGATGATTCTGCAGAAATGCAAGCTTGATAGCATAAGTTGCTACATTGATATCCAGAGGTAACCCTGGCAATAAATGATGAACTAGAGGAAGACCAAGTTCACCACTTTAAAGTCAAATGAAGATTGCATCAACATTTATGCATAAGAATATCATTTATACAATAGACAATGCATTACATTGATACATCTGAGTGCATTCAAACATGAAGTTTTACAGATCTTCGGAAGAACAAGAAGATTCATGGTAAGAAATACCTTACAAGAAGAAGGTATTCAAAACCGCAAATACAGGAATCATGCAAACATTTGAAGAAGTGATAGATGCAATCCACAAGAATGAAAATTATCTTGAGATTGGGGCATGTTACCCAATCAATATGTTATTTTGAAACATAATGAGAAAACAATTTACATAGTTTCTCATTCAATCTTTTCTAAAAATGAAATTGTTGAAAAGTAAGAAAACGATTTCCTTAGTTTTTTTACTTAATAAACTATTTCCCACATCTGTAAGTCCTTCAGTGCATGATGTTTCCAAAAAGCCTTCGGGATCTTTTTGATGTTTCCAAAGCCTTAGGGTCATCTGTAAGTCCTTCAGTGCATGATGTTTCCAAAAAGCCTTCGGGATCTTTTTGATGTTTTCAAAACCTTAGGGTCATCTGTAAGTCCTTCAGTGCATGATGTTTCCAAAAAGCCTTCGGGATCTTTTTGATGTTTTCAAAACCTTAGGGTCATCTGTAAGTCCTTCAGTGCATGATGTTTCCAAAAAGCCTTCGGGATCTTTTGATGTTTTCAAAGCCTTAGGGTCATCTGTAAGTCCTTCAGTGCATGATGTTTCCAAAAAGCCTTCGGGATCTTTTTGATGTTTTCAAAACCTTAGGGTCATCTGTAAGTCCTTCAGTGCATGATGTTTCCAAAAAAGCCTTCGGGATCTTTTTGATGTTTTAAAGACTTAGGGTCATCTGTAAGACCTTCAATGCATGATGTTTCCAAAAAGCCTTCGGGATCTTTTTGATGTTTTAAAGCCTTAGGGTCATCTGTAAGTCCTGCAGTGCATGATGTTTCCAAAAAGCCTTCGGGAGCTTTTTGATGTTTTCAAACCCTCAGGGTCATCTGTAAGTCCTGCAGTGCATGATGTTTCCAAAAAGCCTTCGGGAGCTTTTTGATGTTTTTAAACCCTCAGGGTCATCTGTAAGTCCTGCAGTGCATGATGTTTTCAAAAAGCCTTTGGGAGCTTTTTGATGTTTTTAAACCCTCAGGGTCATTCATAAGACCTCTGGGAATAATGTTTTCCACATTTCTATATTACTTAAAATAAGCCGAATGAAAAATTATTGTCTTTTTCATCTTTGCTCTATTCTTGTTAACACAAGAATGAGCAAAGAGGGGCAGCTGTAGACATTAATTTTTCAGTATACTTTTTATTATTATTATTATATATATATATATATATATTAAATAAAAATAATTACAAGCCCAAATATATTACAATCAGTACCGGAAGGCCCAAGACTCGGGAACCCTATTCAGGCCCAAGTGGAGACCCAATCCGGATGGCCCAAAGTAGAACCCTAAACCCAATTAGGGTTTCATCCTTTTCCAGCAGTCAGCCGTCTCAGCTCACAGCCGTTGGATCTGGCCTTGATCCAACGGTCCCCAGATGCTCCAGCAAGAAACCCTAGGGTTATCATAACCCTAGGACCATGCGGTGCCACCCCTAAGCCAACCTGACGACCGACTCTCTGATGCCAGATGGTCCAACCAGTTGCTGCCGACGCTGCTGCTTCCACGACGCCGGCCTCGTCGAGCTTTCCAGAAGCCAGCTGCCTCACCAAATCAGTGCTCTATGGTGAGTCACCGCCATAGCTTGGTGACTCACCAAAGATGCTACCCATGGGACCGGTCCGAGGAGTACACTGTGGTGGCTATAAAAGGCACCACTGAACCTGCAAAGAGAGAGAAGGGACAGAAACGAAGAAAGGGCAAGCAAAGCAGTAACCACACACAACCACAGAGAGCAAGAAAAAAAAGAGAGATACGAACATCAACCAAGAAGTCAGAGGAAAATAACACAATAACCATCAAAATCCATAAAACAGAAAGAAAGAAAAAGGAGAAAAGCTTACCAATAGAGACGCGATCATCGGAGCCTTCTCATCTTGCCGGAGAACCGAAAATACCGAAGGTATTTTCTTAGATTTAAGAAAATCTAAGGGTTTTTAGGATAAAATGAGGCTAGATTCGGGTTCGTAGCAAGTAGATCTTTAAGATTAGGGTATTTTTTGCATATTCCGGCGGTGGTGTCGGTGCCGGAGTATGGCTATCAGCCGGTGGCCGGCCAACCTCCGTTTGGAGGATTGAAGAGAGAGGCGAGAGGATTCTGGCTCTCTCTCAGTGTTGAGAGAGAAGGAAGAAATGAGAATGAGAGAGCTGGCCCTTCGGGCCAGCCGTTTGGGGGATTTATACCCCTTCCCGAACGACGTCGTTTTGGGAAGGGGTATATGCGTAATTTACATGTATGCCTAAACCCCTTCCGTAGCCATCCGAGTTTTGTAATTATTCATTTTAGTCACTAAAACTAACTTATGAATGTTCTAATTCAGTCTTCGAATTTTATTTTATTATGTTTTAATCCTTACCAGTATTAAATAATATATTTAGGACAAATATCACATTTAGTCCCTATTAATTTTAATATTTCTATTTTAATCACTGATTAAATAAATAATGGTTAATTACACTACTAGTATTTATATTTTATGATAATTCTAACCATGTCTCTTAAATATTTATATTTTATAATTTGATCATTAAATTTTATATAATCTTAATTTTAACCATAAGTTTTATTATTTTTACATTTTTAAGTTCATATATTTATGAATATGATCCATTAGTTTTTAATATTATTACTTTTAATTTCTTTCATTTTAATTATTATTATTTTATTTTATTATTACGTTTGATATATGTTTAAATTATTATCTTCATGATTATTTTATTATTATTATTAAGTTATATAAACATATTTATATAATATTTATTTATTTATTTATTTATTTATTCTATTCGTTTATTAAATAAAAATCCTATTTATAAATTTAATTTTATAAATTACTTTTAAAATAAACATATTTTGATATGTATTTATTTTTTAATATCTAAGAAAAGAGCTGTTTTAAAATACCTAGAAGTCCTTTTCTGATATTCTTAAATAAATAAATGTCCTATTTTTATAAATCATATATTAATATATTTTAATTATTTTAAGATAAATGTTTTATTAACATTTATTTATTAATATTAAGAAAAGAACTGTCTTAAGGCACCTAGAAGTCCTTTTCTGATATTTCTAAATAAATAAATATTTTTATAAATTAATATATTTTCTTAAAAATTATATTAATAAAATTTGAAATAACATAATTATAAATTAAATATATTTTGAATTTTTAAATTTCTAATAATAGAGACAATTTATAATTAAAAAGTACCAATTTTGGGCGTTATAGGGGTGTTAATCATTCCCTAAACGTAACCGACCACGAATCCCTTTTTATTATTAAAAAGAACGAATTTTTGGTTAAAACGCAGATCAGTTCATCTTTTAGCTAATGTTTTCTTAAAAACTCTGTTAAAAGATAATTTTTAGGTATTCGACCTACCTGACCCAAAAGGCCGATGGCGACTCACAAATTATTTTCAAAACTATCTATTCACATCAATTTTCCCGCCAAGTAAATATTTCGTGCCCGGGCGAAAACCGGTTACGACACTTCGGATAGTTAACATGAATCTGGGTAACTCTGATGACAATTTTCTTCAGCTTGTTCATTGCAGAAAATTGCTTCAAACGGGACAGGACAGCAGAATCGAGAGGTTTATCCGGAGCAAGATCATCCTCCTGAACCCAAGGGTGACCTTCCAAGAAACATGAAGGTAAATAATCCTTTTACGGTAAAGTGATACTTGTGCAGTACGTCTGTCTTGAATTCTTTTGAAGAATGATAAAATGCTTTCACGTAGACAAAATAATTGGACTCCAAGAATTACTAGTATGTTAAAAAAAAATTTGGTTTGGGGGGGGGGGGTTTACAATAAAAAGCATGTAATAAATCCAAGTGTTTAAAGTCCTTGGCAGATGTTGCAGAAAGGAAACACCAATCAAAATATGAATGTCAATTCTTCTCAAGTAACTGAAATGAAATTTTCTACTATCATCCAAATCCCTTGGTTGATGTTCTCTTACCTTTTAATATTCTTGAAGTACCTGTGTACTTCGCCTGTGATGATGCATATCCGGGACATACAAGTTATGTCCTCCCAGCTTGTAGTTAATATAACAGAACAATGTAAACCATACAATATTACTCTTTTTGTCATTCTCCAGCAATATTAGGTTATAATCTACAACTGCCAATAAAGTAGTCTCAAATTGAATTTCTAAGATAAACCGGACAAATTATGTTCTTGTAGTTAATAGAATAGAATACTGCAATATTAGTCACCAGTATCTAAGATATAAAACAACCGGGCCGATAAATGAGACGTAATTCAACCGTGTCTGGAAGCATTTACCGATGCACGAACCACCAAGCAGCAAAACACTCACCATCCCAGAATGGGGGAACTCCGCAAAGTAAAATATAAATGATCACTCCAGCACTCCAAACATCACATTCTGGACCATAATGCTTCAGCAACATTTCTGGAGCCACATAATAGGGACTTCCAACCACCTCATTGAATATATGACCTAGAGGAAAAGGGATTAGGTGCCAGACAATAGAGTAGATTGACATAATAAATTTTATCGAAATCTATTATAAAGATGACTGGCTCCATGTAAATGAAGCAAATGATGAGTCCGTGAACTGGCTAAACGTGTCCACTAGCGTAATACCTGGCTTGAAAAACATTGAAAGCCTGAAGTCGATTGTTTTAAGTGGTGCCTCCTCTTCCTTGTTAACGAATAGGAAATTTTCAGGCTTGAGCTCACGATGCATAACACCAAGAGAATGGCAAGCTTGCACAACGCCAATCATTATTCTGGCAAGTGCAGCCATGGTATTAAATTGCGGCCGCATCGTAACGGTTTTGAAGGTCATCGCGTGAAGACACTGAATTTTGTCCACTTAAATTATAATATTATTATATAATGTTATAATTTATAATATATATATATATATATATATATATGTTCCTTTACATCTTATTTTATTTCTTATTTCGTACAGATCCATTGCATGCAGTCCAAAGTAAAGTCACGTGTGGCCCAGTCAAGACCCAAATCCAACAGCAACACACGATCACCTAGGGTTTCTAGAAAAACCTAGCAAGCCTTTACCCCAGTGCTGTAATCGGGGTTCCCTCACGCAGTCAACACCGAGTTTCACGGCAAGACTCCCATCGCTGCACGTCTCGCCTCCAACAACTAGGACTCTCGGCCACGCAAAGAAACTGTTGAGTTAATCGATTGACGGAATCGACCAAGAGGGGGGTGAATTGGCAATTAAAATTTTGGTGGAAGCTTTTGCAGAAAATTGAAAGTAATTGCACAGCGATTTAGAGTGGTTCGACTTTATCAACCAAAGTCTGCGTCCACTACCTTAGCTATCCACACTAAGGATTTTCCAACAAATTCACTAATTTGTTCATTCTTTTGAGGACAAAGAGTAACCTTACAGCTCCCTCAAGAATTATACCCCAAATTCTTGAGCACACTCTTTTTCAAAGAGAAATACACAAATTTGCAAACATACAAGGAAAACCTCACAAGGTAAGATGTTTGCACAATTCTAGAACAAGAAAAGAACACTCACAAATAATTACAAATGAGAACAAATGGTGTTCTTTGAAAGCAAAATGAATATTGAAAGGAAAATTGGCTTGATTTGCACAAACTTGGTGTTTGATGCTTTCTCTCTTGTTTCTCTATTATTTCTTGTTGATCAAAGGCTTCAGAACTTGTTTAAATACACCTTGAATCACTTCTGAACGTTGGGGATGATTAGTGAAGATCATATAGCCGTTTTAGTGTGAAAACAATTAATAAAACAGCTTGGAGCATGGGGGGAATCAGTACCCCCTATGAGGAATCAGTTCCCTAAGTGTAAAATTCAAATATTTCGACCGTTATACAAGGGGGGAATCGGTACCCCCTGGGGTGGAATCGGTTCCCTCCGAGCATACTAGAATTCTCGGAGCCAAACCATTCAGGGGGGAATCGGTACCCCCTTGGGGGGGAATCGGTTTCCTCTGAGCAATCTGGAATTTTTGGCTTTGAAATGATTCGAAATACTTTGTAAAATTATTTTGAAATTGTTTTAAGATTAAAACTTAATTTTACACTTGAGTAAGGATTAAAAATGATCTTTAAAAGATTTGGAGTAATGTTTTGATATTCGAATAGTTATATCGAATATACTTAGAAAATCATTTGGAAAATCTTAAAATTCATTTAACTTAATTTGTTATATCAAAATGTTTTCAACAATCTCCCCCTTTTTGATATAACAAAACATTTTAGTAATTTTAAGATTTTGAAATCAAGTTTTGAAATTACTCCCCTTACTTTAACACTTCTCCCATTTATCATTTAAAAAAAACATTTAACACACTTCTCCCCCTTTTTGTTAAATCAAAAAGACATTTTAAAGAATTAAACAAGGTTTTGAAATCATTTAGCCAATTGATTATATTTTAAGCTGCTAAGATCACAAGCAAGAGAAACGTTAGCCATTAGTTTCATAATCAATATTCATAGTTAATGTGAAATGGCAAAATTGGTCATATTGCTATAATGATGTAAATGATGCAATAAATTTAACTAAACCATCAAAAGAAAATATTTAAATTCAAACAAACAAATCCAAAGTCACAAAAATCAAACAATCCAAAAAGTTGAAGCAATAATCGTTTAGTTCAAAGTTTTAAATTTAAGCACAGAATCACATATCCGGATCAGGAGGAGGAAAACGAGCCCGCATAGCGGCCATTTCGTGAGTAAGGTCATTAATACGCGCATTGGTTGCTTCATTGTTTGCACGCATATCCCGAAGAATTTTAATTGTTGAGCTCTCATTGTGGATAAATGGGACTCTATAGAAGTAAAGCGCGAACCCATGGTAGCATATCGGAAATTGAATGTCTCCATAAAGGATTGAAAATATGGAGGCATTCAATGCGTTTGTTGTGCTTGCTCATCGGGCTGCTCAGGCTCATCTTCGGCTTCATCGATGTCTCGCATTAATTGCTCAAGCTCGAGATCTTCGTCAGCTTCGGGTGGAGCTTGTGAAGAACTAGCTCTCGGAGTATTTGCAGAAGATCGAACCCATTCACCGGTTTCCTTATCCTTAATCCATCTCGCTCTCATTAAGGAAAGAAGATTAATTTGTTTCTTATGGGGAAAAGCGGCATCTAGACCGACTCTAAGCCCAGCTTTGGAAAATAGATTACTCAAAATACAACCGTAAATAAGAGATGAACAGAGTTTCTTGTTAGGAACAAGATTTACGGTTTCAACAATTTCAGAAAAAATAATCTGAGGTAGGTTAATTTTAATATTGTTTTCGAAACAATGTAACCACCAAAGATCTAAGGCTCTAAGAGTAGAATAACGACCTCTGGATGGTCGAAACCACCAAGAAATCATTAGATGAAGAAAACGTTCATGAAGGTCTAAGACACTTGCACTATCTCTTCTTTTATAACGAGATCCTAAAACCTATTTTTCATTTGAAATACCATCATTATCTAATCTGAATGTATTGGCTGTGTAAGCCGAGTCAATATATAAGAATTGTCCTAGGAGGTAGGAACGAATTCCTATGGTTTCGGTTTCAGTTTGGTTTTTAACACAAACGGCATTAGAATAGAAAATACGAACAAGTTGATGGTAAACGATGGGTTCAAGGTCAAAGAGTTTATCAAATTTCCACTCTTGTAAAAGAGGAAGATATTTAAAATTAATAGCTAACATAGCTTGACGAGAAGGAATACGTTCTTCCCGGATTTTGTAAGAGTCGAAATATTGATAATACCAAAAACGATGATTTCTAGGACCAAGATGATTGAAGCACGAATTTTGGATAATTAAATTAGGATCAATGGGATTAGGATTAGGAATTGGATTTTGAGGATTTAGAGGTGGATTTGGTTGACGGTGTGAGCGACTAGATGATGACCTAACACGTTTAGGATTGGACATGGTTTAGGAAATCAGAATAGAATGGGTAACCTTGAAGGATTTCGGATTTGAGTGAGATTAGATGAAGTTTGCACGTTTTTGATGATTCCAACAGGTGTAGAAGATGATATTTGAAGTGAATTCCGATTAAGAACGTTGATTTGAGGCAAAAATGGAGATTTGAGAGAGTAGAGGAGTGATAGGCGGCAAGGAAGAGAAAAGAAGAGAGTTTGAAGTTTTGAAGGGTTCTGCCCGTGTATATCCAGAACCCCAGGGGGGTATCGATTCCCCTGTGGGGGGAATCGGTTCCCCTTCAAAGGGGGAATCGGTTCCCTCATGGGGGGATCAATTCCCTCTGCACCAAAATGCTAAAATCCGATTTTAAACACCCAAAATGCTAAATTAATTTCCTCTAGTGGTATTGGCAACTCATATATTGAAAATTAATCATGTTCAAACAATTAAATTAATCTTTAAACGATATTTGAACATAAAATTAATTTTTCATCAAGAATCATAAACTCCCCCTAACTAATATCAATGAATGCAATAAAAAATTACTATTATAAGCATTTTATTTATTCTTATAAGTGCCAAAATTATTTTAAACACTAAGT